ATACAATGTGCTTTAACTGCAGACTGTCAGCTGTAATTTGAATAGGAATTACAACAGTTTGCATATGTGCCTCCCACTTGTTTACGGACCAAAAGAAATGGGACAGAATAATAATCATAAATCAAACTCTCCCTTTTTAATACTTGGTTGCAAATCCATTGCAGTCACTCACAGCCTGAAGCCTGGAACGCATAGACATCACCAGACGCTGGGTTTCATCCCTGGTGATGCTCTGCCAGGCCTCTACTGCAACTGTCTTCAGTTCCTGCTTGTTCTTGGGGCATTTTCCCTTCAGTTTTGTCTTCAGCAAGTGAAATGCATGCTCAATGGGATTCAGGTCAGGTGATTGACTTGGCCATTGTATATACAGTCAGGTCCAGAAATATTGGGACATTGACACAATTCTAACATCTTTGGCTCTATACACCACCACAATGGATTTGGAATTAAACAAACACAATGTGCCTTAACTGCAGACTGTCAGCTTTAATTTGAGGGTATGTACATCCAACTCAGGTGAACGGTGTAGGAATTACAACAGTTTGCATATGTGCCTCCCACTTGTTAAGGGACCAAAAGTAATGGGACAGAATAATAATCATAAATCAAACTCTCCCTTTTTAATACTTGGTTGCAAATCCATTGCAGTCACTCACAGCCTGAAGCCTGGAACGCATAGACATCACCAGACGCTGGGTTTCATCCCTGGTGATGCTCTGCCAGGCCTCTACTGCAACTGTCTTCAGTTCCTGCTTGTTCTTGGGGCATTTTCCCTTCAGTTTTGTCTTCAGCAAGTGAAATGCATGCTCAATGGGATTCAGGTCAGGTGATTGACTTGGCCATTGGTGTATAGAGCCAAAGATGTTAGAATTGTGTCAATGTCCCAATATTTCTGGACCTGACTGTATATACATATGATAGATAAATAAGTAAATATTAGGGTTGCTACCAGTGAATGGGATTGAAGGTCCTACAGAATCAGCAAAATTTATCATTAGGATAGAGAATTTGCAAATACTTTCTGGAACTGTACATTAACAAGGAATGCTTTTGTACTTCAGGTTCTCGTGCCCTTTGAAGATGTAACTGTGTTTTTCTCTGAGGAGGAGTGGGCTCTGCTGGATTTTGACCAAAAATCCCTGTACAGAGAAGTCATGCTGGAAAATGCTAAGAATGTGGACTCTGTGGGTAAGGGATCCCTTTCACGCTGGGTTCAAATAAGTGGGGAAGGTATTTTCTGGTCAGAAATAATCAGTTTGTGAATTTCTCAGAGGAGGTTCAGGTCTGTACTTTTTCTGCAGAGGACTGAAATAACCTTGTGTGCATTATGTCTAGAGTCGCATATGTGATAAGAGGGGCTATATTATTCGAAATAATAATAACAGCAGCAGCAGCACTTGTTCCGGTAGGAAGGGCTAACATTTTCATGCTGTCTCCAGAAAGAGGAACAAGCACCTTCCCAGACAGTTTCCAATCCTTCTCATCTGGGTTTTCAGGTTGCCTTAGAAGTCCCTGAATATACTCATAGCGCCAGGGGGATCCACCCCCAAATATCCAGGTGAGCCCAAACAGGGATGGCAGTCTCCAGAATTCAACTTAGGAGAAAGCTGAGTTTGCAGGGCAAATCTTATATCCCTTTTTCCCCACTCCCCAAACCTTTGGAATCCTCACCCTGTTGCTGGGATAATTAGCAAGAAGAAAATTAATATTTGTATTTACATTTATTGGGAAGGAAGGGATTACAAATAAGTAAACAGGCACACAGTAGAGAATACACATTGAGAGGAATGTG